GACCAAGGTCAGTTTGTGTATACGTTGTCTCTTTTTACCATTCGATTTTAACGCAGCCCAAATTGGCGAGTACGCGATCATGAACGCACACACACACACACACACACACACACACACACACACACACACACACAAGATTGGTACGTGCCAACTTGTAACCTATAATTGCATTCAAATATTTTCATCGATTCTGTGTGTGCTATAGCTCCGTTCATCAAAAATGTTCACCGCATTTTTATGCAAGATAATTGATCACACAAGCTGACCGACCGAGCAAGGATACACCATTCGAATGGGTATCGTATATGTTTGTGTGCGCGTTCGCACATTTCTGAAATCGCTTAATTTTTACATCCGACCTGACCATTCCAATCCCAAACCAGTCGGGCGTTGTTGTCATACATTTTTTGTGTTTGTCTCGTTTTTCCCCCTTTTTCTGTTTTACTTCTTTTTCGTTCGACTTTGTTTTCAATTAATCGGTCAATTTTCATGTAGCTGTTGTTACACTTGCTACCAATCGACCAAGATCGTACAGCGGCACATTTTGTCGCCTTATATTAAAGTACGCATAATGTAACAGCTAAAAACGAAACGAACGAAAAAGCGATGAAAAAAGCAATACATGAAGGAGCATAAATGTCTAAAATAATTCAAAACAGCTCATCATACAGTAATATAAGCATATTTTGTGTCCAGTTTTACTTCATTTTTTGTGAATGTATTGGATCTCGATTGCTCACACACGAAATCATCTCTCTCTCTCTCTACCTCTCGATACTCTGAACACAATGTTTGCATATGCTCAAGCAACTGTGTGCAATCGCATTTAATTACACAATATTAATTTATATATTGTTATATCCAGGTGATATTCACTTTTTCTTTCTTTTAACACGGTTTTTCGCTTCATTCTTGATCATCCATTTTTGCATGTTCAGATGTGCGCACGCACGTATTCGCATACATAAACATCAAACAAAATCATATTACAGATCTCTTTTTTATATGTATAAACACAATTGTTCAATTGACTATGCATTAACAAGATGTGAATATCCGTTAAAATGCTACTATTTATTTATTCATTTCAATTTGCAATGCATTATTCATAATATCGATCATTTGGTTTTTGAGATCAAAATCATATCTACCAACAATCCATTACTTGAGCTGAAACAAGCGTTGTTAGCTTGTTTGTTACTGGCTAGGGTCAGAAGTGTGACCAACACAAGCATTTTCTTTAAGTTTACTCTTTAATTTTAAACCAGCTTCCAACGATATAAAAAGCGCTCAAAGGGATAGCGCGTTACGTTTTTTTTTTTGCCAACCTGTTTTTACCAACAATCGAGAAATAAGTTTTTGTCGACCGATTAGACAATATAACCCATTTTCGTCTATTGCCAAACAATCGCATATTTTTTCCGCCGATTGCTTCAGTAAATATGTTTAATTTTCCGAAAAAAGAATGCGAATCATCACAGATGACAATATTTACATGACTTACTTTGCAAAATTACTCAGCTTTTTGTAAAGAAAAAGGGAATTTTGTGGGCTGAGAATGTGAAATAGGGCTGGATTTGTATTTGTGTACAAGTTCAATTTTATTAATACCCCCAAGTAAATGTAATAGCATAAATTCAATTCTTCTTGTATTAATGGATATTTAAATTCAAAATAATTGATATGGAATAGCATAATTGTATGTATGGCACGTGTGCACGATCACTATACTAGACATTCCGACACTTGCATGCAAAATAAAAAAAAAACAACAAAAGGCCATAAAAAAGACAATATTTTACAGAGCCGTTAAGATTGTCAGCACAAAAAAAAACCAGAGCACATGCTAACTGTGAAGAGCAAGTAATTTTCGGTTTCATTATTCGGAGTTAAGATCGAGTACAAGTACACAAAAAAACGGGCGAAAAGAATGCGTTATGCGCTTCAGGTTGCTTTGTGCGTGTGACTCTGTTGACAAATTAAAACTGTCCAAATTATTGCATGTGTAGCCTCGATCAACACTTTTTGTTTCTATGGATTCTCTTTTTTCAACCAGTTTGTGTATGTGTCATTTCGTCGGTTTGATTGTTTCATTTTTTTTTACATGCAAGTTTGTATGTGTGTCTCTGATTTGGGCTCCTTCATTCAAGTGCAATGCAGCAAAAAGCGACAACAGCATGCATTTCATGCGCTTAAGTGTAAGCAATTAACTTCACTTTCAATCAATTATCAGGCATCCAATTTTGTGAATCGATTTCTTTTGTTACCCTGAGTACGTCTCCACAAAATGACACAAACACTCCAATTATATTGTTTGTTTTTCTCTTAATTTTTAACACAAATTGTACAATCTCAATCTTTGACACGGATCAATGGTTCCATACATTGAACGACCGATCAATGTTATTGTTTTTGTTTCATTCGCAAAAAAAATAGTCAGCAGTTAAAAAAAAAACTATGCAAAATGAAAGGATGAAGGATTTTAATGAAAGAATTTCACAAGTTTTTGTGACACAATTTGAAATGAATCGAAAAACAACTGACATCTGTGACCAAAAACTCAATATCAACTCGATATTAAGCAATCGTTTTTGGATAGATCAAAGGCAAATCTTTTGCTTTTCGTTTTGCTTCACCAAATAAAACCAAATCAACTTCGAAATCTAATTCATTGATCCCAACAGTAACACCATTAGACAATTCAATTAATTGCATACCACCCGTGAGTGTAATTATTCAATTCGTAAGTTTGGTGCAAAAAAGTAGACACACACCTCTTCTCTCTTCTGTCGCTAAAGATTTTTGATCCACAATGGTAGACGGATTAAAAGCAAAACAAAATACGGTTTTTACAATACAATTGTTCGAATTCACGTTAGTTTTCATAGTTGCGTCTATGTTAAAAAGGAAATAAAAATTCAGATTTTCAAGCTTAACTTCTATTGTAATTAGTGTATATCGAGACGGTGATGGAGAATTGCATGCCACAGCGAATAGAGTGAAGTCTTAAAAATGTCATTTTCGATGCATACGTATTAAACAAAACTATTGATTAATAGAAAATGGATGGAATGGGGGTTTTTGCGTGTGTGTGTGTGCAAGTGAGGTAAATAGATATAGTCAGTGGAAAAAAAATCGCTGTGTTTCCTTGCCCGAAACGAAATTGGAGTGCGATTGAAAGACGGATCAAAAGTTGAATATTTTACTTAAAGTCGTTGTGAATCTGCTTAACGATTGTCAATGGTTTTTTTTTTCATTCTCTCACCTCTTTGAGTCTTCCTCATTGGGATTGCCATTTTTTTCGTGTTGTGTATATTACCGCGCTTTATTGTTGTTGTTTTTTTCTCACTTCTCGCACACTGGTCGCGTTTGTGTGCGTTGTGTAATCATATTTGCTAACAGTGAGATTACAGTGACTTTGGGCTTTTGTCTCCGCCCATTGTTTACATATTATTTTCGAAGGTAGAGAAATCTACCTCTCTATTTATCTGCCCATGTATTGTCGGTGTTGTTGTTGTTATTCGTTTATATATATATTTTCTGTTTATTTGATCTCAACACCTCACCATTAAGGCACCTCTTTCTATTGATTTTCGTTTGTTTTTATTTCGTTCGTCTTTATTTCGAAATGAAGAGCAAAAAATTTGCGTCAAAAGAGAATTGATTGTTTCGGAAGAAGGCTGTTTCATTAGAATCTCGCACAGATACTTCATTTTTTTCACAATTCATGCGTTTTTTTCTTTATTTGCCTCAAATTGTGACGAGTTTTCGCTTCAGTAACAAATTGGATTCATTCATTTGCAATTTGCTGGAAGAGAAAATAGAGTTCTCGCAATATAATTGTATTTGCTTTATTTTACCGTTACGTGTCGCATGGTGTGTATATGTGTGTGAAATTTGCCAACATGCTTATTTTCTATTCGTCGAATCCGATCACATTACAATTTTTTTTTTTCTGGTATGTGTATGAATGAAGGCAATCTTCTGCTCAATTCGCACTAAACGTACACTCCAAAGACAAAAGAATTGTAAACATTTTTTTTTACTTAGTCAGAAAAACAATATCATGGTTATTGAAAAAGTTTTTAGAAAACAAAAAGTTTCACATTTATGAAGGAACATGTTTTGCACTAGAATAGACGGTGAACCAAATGAATCACACATATTTAATAGGTGTCACACACAAGTACATCAATTGATTGGCATTTTCCATTTTTTTTTTTTGTGGTGACAGCGCAAAATTCAGTGTGGTGAAACCATATATATTGGCATTATCGCTAATGACAACAACTTATCGAGAAAAGTCTTTGACCCATTGACGTAATTCTACAAAGAACACCAGATTGCAATCGAACCCATTTGCATTTAATTATAAAAAACAAAATGATGAAATATACTCCCTCCATTACAAAAAAGTATACATATCAAAGGAGCGAAAAAATACTATATCCACAAAAATCTTACACGCGTATCACTGAAAAAAATAAAGATCGCGAACAAAAAATGTGTGCTTCTCTTTCATTGGCTTTGAGCTTGAAATGTGTGTAAAAATATCCATAAAAAGTATCGATGATTTGAACAATCGACACGTGTGTCTGTGAGGCGAAAAAAAACACACAAATGATTTCATCATTCGTTTCAACGTTTGCGTTCTGACTTCTTGCGTCCTCTTGATTTGTTTTTTTTTTATTGTATCTTTGCTTCGCTGAACATTTGGCATTCACTGTCATTACACGATCGACAACGTACCATCTACTTTATACGGCACAAAGCAAAAGTGATTTTAATTAAACAAATCATTTGGCGTACAGGTGAATCGGCCGAAATGAACGACACAGATCATTTATCACTTTATATTTTATCTCTTTGGGCGCAAATTAGCAAAGTAAATTACACTATATTACAAACCGTACAAATTGATTGAACGACTTTTGAATTTTAATTTAAAATCGAATTTCGCTTGAAATTAATCAAATTTATTCTTTGTAAATTTTTAATAGATTTCTGATATGGCCCATTTATCGCCACCGCCATCACCACCGAACACATTGCCATCGGTTACATCAAAATTACTAAACTATCCAAACATTATGAATGGATTAGAAAAATTAAACTTTCCATTGGCAACGTCAGCACTTCGTGCCAATCTCAACACAGCGCTACAAAATAAACTCAGTCAAGGTAAGTCATTAATATCATTTTTACGGGTGTTTTTTCATTAAAAAGAAATAAGAAAATTGACCGACAACGTTAAAATGGAGTTGAGAAAACAGAAGAATTTTTTTGTCGGGCTTTTCATCTGAATTCAGTTTGTATTTTTTTTAGTTTTTTGTTTTAGTTTTTACTACGAACTCATTACAATATTCTTTATTCAACATTTTTTTTCATTTTGTACCTCTCGGTATGAATTCATTCATGAATTTCGTTTACAAGGAATTCTCAGATTGATGTTTGGTACATGCACTGAGCCTGATTATCGTTTGCCACACATTTTCGGCACTTTTTATTTTCCACACTTGTTTCATATCCGGTGTTAAAAACAAAACTAGAACATAATAAACGAGTGGCGTCAGCGTACATTTCGTATGCACTGAACAATACTGATTGTTTGACCATTTGAGGTTAAAATCTTTATTCTTATATCCTTTTGTTAAAGTCGAAAATTTTCTTCTTTTTTCTTTTAGTTTCCGTATTCGTTCTCATTTTTTCTTCTCTTTTTTTTTGTGTGTGTGACTTTCGTTTATTCTATTGCTATCACCATTCAGATATAATACTAATGAACTATTGAATATTTCATTTTTACAAAAATCGTTTTGTTTTCATTTTGCTGTAAATCTAGATTTTTCATTACTTTACAATCCGCTGATTTATCCAAACTCATTATTCTGGCCGCCAACATTCTTTCTGCCATATCAAAATGCAGCAGCTGCAGCTGCCGTTGCCGGTTTGACAGCATCACCCGAATCACCAAATTTAAGTAATCATCGATACACATTGACACCAGAAAAAGACGATGCAGCCGGTAAGTTGATTAAGCGAGTTTTGTGTTTTAGTCTTTTTTTTTTAATTCACATGTTGATTAAGAGAGATTTTCGTATATAATTTTTTCTCATTATTCGAAAATCAATTGAAAACAGAAAAAAAATATTATCGCTTTAATTTATAAACTTTTATGCATTTTTAAAATCTTCAACAACGAAAAAAAACCTCTCCTCTTTTCAACTTTCAGAAATCGATGAAGATGAACCATTGAATTTATCAATAAAAGCAAATCGATCGAATTCGAATGCGATTATTTGGTCGCCGGCCAGTATTTGTGAAAAAGAATCGGCGGCCGAAGGTGTTATGCCATCAATTAAAGTCGAATTAGATCAGATCAAATCGGAACATTTACATAATCAAACTGTAGGCAATTCATCGTCGTCATCATCGTCAACGTCATCAATTTCATCGTTGCGCACGCCACAATCGTTGCCAATTCAGGAACTATTTGAAAAAGCACATGCCACTGGTATTTCAGCTGATTTTCTACAAAAATTACAACGAAGAACGAATGATACAAATGGTACGTTTCCATCATCGCTAACACAAGCAGCAGCTGCAGCCGCCGCTGCTGCGGCCGCTGTACAAGCCGCAACAAATACCACCGAATTTCTATCACATCTACACAAACAAGCTGAATTTGATTTGATTGCAAAAAATCATTTAGATCTCTACACGGAAAATCTTCTCAATTCCAACGAAAATCTACGGAATAACAATGAAAAGCTACGGAATGCAAATTTACAAAATTACAACAACAATAACAACGACACAACATTGAACGATGCCAACACACTAAATAATACACATATCAAAAATACCATCAACAAAAGCGACGGACCAAAGAATTCACGCAGCATTGAAGGCAATAGGATGCAAAAATTGTTTCAGGTGAGTCACATCAGCGATGCTGTTTTTTTTTGTTCACCGAAATTTAGAATTTTAAATAAAAAATTAACAGAACAGAAATATTGACAGCAAATCCATATAATTTTCGGTTGGAAATTATGTTAATTGCAATCGATGAAAAATATTACTTCTCGGCATTTCTCTAAAGAAAACCATTTTGAATTTTATGAAAAAAATAGTAAAATTTCACCACATTTTCTATTCGCTGAGGTTTTCTAATTTAAAAATGTTTGATAACGACTTTATGGTAACAGATTTCAAGCGAACACCAAAATGATTAGGCGGTACAAATGTCGAATTTTGGACACAGTGACCATTCACTTTCATGATGAACCATCGTACTTCCTTGTGTAAATCATGACGGCAATCTGTTTTCTCTCGTTTTTTTTTCTCTTTCTCTCTGTTTCTCTCTTTGAATCTTTTCCGTAACACAAAAATCATTTGATATGGTCGCGTATAAATTTCGATCGAATGTTCCTATTGAAATCAATAGAACGATTTCATAACACATCGCAACCACATTTAAAAAATGATTGAAAAGAGCAACGAACATCTAATAACAATAAATAGATATGCAACGAAATTTAAACAGAAGAAAAAAGATAGAAACGACGGTTAGGTAATCGGCACTGTAAAATAAATATTAAAAAAAGAGAAAATGTCGAGAGAGCTGCCGAAGAAGAAGAAGAAGCAAAAGAAGAGGAAAAAAGAACTTAAACGTGTTGAATCCTGACGGACTCAATATTAGCAACTGTTAGTAACACATTAGCATTGAAACGAAACAACATATTGCAAGCAATCATTTTTTCTTCCTCTTTTTACCTCTCGTTTTATTGTTGGTCTTTTTTTCTGTCATGTTCCTGTGTTTCTCGTTGTTTCGTTTTGGACGAATGAATATTCCCATTTCGGTGGTTGCTTTTTTTTTGTTGGGCGCGCTCTCAACACCACACATTCAACATCCATATGTTTTAATTTTGTGTGTAACATTATTTTACTGCTCATTTGTTCGGCTCTCTTTCGTATTACATACATTGTCAGACAGGATAGATCGTTTCGTGTGTAAGCGCGCGACATATTTTTTTCTTCTTCTGTATAGTTTTTTAAAAATTGAGAAGCGAACATTTTTGGTGGATACAAATAAAATGAATGGAAAAGAAAATATGGACTCAGATTTGGCTATCAGTGAATATGCAAATGTCATCTAATGTCAAAACTCATGGCAGCTTTTGTTGCCATTCGCTTCGATTTCAATATGCTGAAAATATGAGAGATAGACCTTTGCCATGTAAATTAACTACAACTTTTGATGAGCTCCACATTTTTTGTTTTGTTTCTGCCACGGATTCGATGTCATATATACATAAGATTACAATACGTAAAATGCAATTGTTTATCCGTTCATTGTAACTTATATCTTTATTGCGACAATTAATAATTCATCAAATATAATTTAATCACGTTGCGTGAGTGAATGAGCCATTATTTTTTTGGTGATATTTGATTCAGGTGTTCAAATAAACAGCCGCGCAATATTGTTGTGTGTCATAACATTGGACGGAATCAATTAAAAGAAAAATAATGCAAAATAGCTGTGTTGCGACTAAAAACTATTGCGGCCATAATCAAGTGTATATGCGTGCTCCATTGCTCCCGGTGGCCAATATGTCATTTACTGCGTGTCAATTCAATTTGATTCATTTAGCCATCGATGGTATTATATCATAGGATTATAATCACATTTCCCTTTTGATTTATATTCGACAAAATTTACACCATCTTCAACAAAACTCGATTCGAATTGTATTTAAATGAAATAAAAGTTTCATTTTATCGTTTGGTGTCACGATATTTTCAGTTTGCTTCGAATATAGAGAAATTATGAAACGAAAATGTTCATCCCTACAAAGAAAATGTAATCTGTTAATCTTATTGCATGCAATAAAGGAAAAAAACAACCCCAAATTACATTGTCCATCGTCAATAAATGAGAAACAATCGCATCGACTGAAATTACCAAACAAAATGTATGGACGAAAGAAATAACCGCACCAAAATATGACAATTTCATGTAATTGGATAAATTTGTTTACCAAACTATCAGTATTATTGATGATCTCAAATAACAATTGTCGGTTTTTTTGTGTGATGTGTGTGTGATCGAACGGGGCAAATCGAAATTCTAGATTTATTGTGGTCTTGCCGCAGCCACGCCATTAATAAATTTAATAAATGGTAGATTTGTTACGTAAATTTCAAACGTTTGCTCATAAATATGTCGGTCAAACCGCAACAAAACAAAGTTGGTCATCGATATCCATACAATTAATGAAACTTAGCAGTGAATTATGAACGCTTTATTTGCTTATTAATTAATGGACATTTATTTGTTATTATTGTTGGAGTCGCTCGAATTCTTTTTAACAAATAACAAAGTAATCCATGCCGAATTGAAATCATAACACAAAAATCTCAATTCAATGCTATACTATGGTCTTGTCATATTTTATCAGAGAAACAAAAACTCTTAAAATCACTCAGACTAAACTAATTCCATCAAAAAAGGAAAATCAAATCACAGGCAATCGATCACATTTTTTTCCCTCTTTTATGATTTTTTTATGAATTATTCCGTCGAAATTAGACGACCATAATTTTCTTTCCGAGTTTTGTATTCAATATTTATTTTTAATCGACTTTTGATAGAGTTTTTGTACTTAAAATACACTTTTTCATTCCATCGATTGAAAACTAATTCATTTTTTTATTCTCTTTGCAGTGTAAACAATGCAACAAAACATTTAAGCGATCAAGTACGTTATCCACACATTTGTTGATTCACAGTGACACTCGGCCGTTCCCGTGCGAATTTTGTGGTAAGAGATTCCACCAAAAATCAGACATGAAGAAACACACCTACATTCATACCGGTAAGTAAAGAAACATTTCACAATAACTGAATTTCATTGATCTTAAATTAAAATGGATTAAAAACGAGTATAATAAGACGCATTCAAATCTGCAAACAAAAAAAACCAACATAGATTAATATAGTTTCAAAATGTGCCTAATATAACTTCCACTTTTAAGAATTGCCGCAATTCATTTTGTTCATTTTGATCACATGTACATACTTATTTCATAAAATATTATCTCTTCAAATGCACTTGGCGCATTGGTTGACGATGAAGTTCAAATTATATGCAATGTGGTACAAAGCGTTTTTTTATTAACTTGAAATCATTGTTTGTTCATATTCATTTGTGTTGCCTTTGTTTGGTTATTCTCGATTCGTTCATTGTTCAATCTTAATCGTAATTTAAAGATGCAAGTGCGTTTTCCCTTTGAAATCCACAAACTATTTGGTCAACCGTAAAACGAAGAATAATCACTAGCAAATCACTGTTCATAAAAGTTCACTTTGTGCACATGTGAGGACAGTGTACGAGCCTAGATACCCAAAGCACTGTTAGAAATGAATAGAAAAAAAAGGTGGAATGTCATCAAATGCAAGTTCATAAATCTTATCGTTTTGTGCATATAATTTATGATGTGCACCCTACACTATTCTGGTGCGCACGAATTAAGTAAGGACAGACTCATCAGTTCATTACACCCACCCAGGACGGATGATTAGACATATCAATTGCTTTCGCAATGCAAATAAACACAGCAAATTAAGGCAATACAGACTCTTCTATACAGAGATGAAAAAGAAAACCCAACGCATTCGGAAAGAAACCGCGCACGAGTCATCGTTTTGAAAGATTTCATCTTTGCTTTCCTTTTTTGTACTGCTCGTACAAGTTTTTTTTCTTTCATTTTTCAATGTTGCTCTTTTCTTCTTTCGTGTACTTGCTCGCTCGCTTTTACTCTTGCAAATATAATCCAAATCGCTGAAACGCTTAAGCGGCAAATGTTCATATTATAAATATATATATACAAATAAATGCGTCGCCTTGTTTGACGATGATTTTTTTTTCGCTTCTTGGTTTGGGTTCGTTTGGTTTTGTGTGTTGATTTGATTGTGCATTTTCTCGCGGTACACAATCGAAGCAAATGAAAGAGCGGTACACCGCTGCTTCCATTAGTTAAATATGCCCACAGTTTGAGATTTCATTAAACCGGGCACCGCCGCCGAATCAACCAAGCCAGTGAACAAATGTGCGCTTTTCGCAAATAACCGTGCAAGATGAATGTGCCTGTGTAAATAGTGCATAGACCATGCAATAGAACGAAATCGGCGAGAGAGAAAAAAGTGTATCGCTAACATTGTGGCCAAGAGAAAGACAAAACAGCCGGCTCATTCACAAATAGATATATATATTTTTCAACTGTGTCAACTATTGTTTTCATTGTGTTTTGGAATTCCATTGCATTTGTGGATGCGAGCGCGCGCGCGCACATACAACAATATCAAATAAAATTAATAGAAGTAATTTTTGCTTGTCGTCGTTTTGCCTGCTTCGCATTTCCTTAAACAGAATTTCAAATGCTTTGCAAACCGTTGTTGTTTTTTCTTCATCGTTTTCTTTCTCCGCTATCCTTTCGTTTTATTTCATTTCATTTGCTTTCGCTTGTGATCTCATGTCGTCTTTTATTGTTGACTGTGTGTGTTGTTTTTCTTCTGTTTTGTCCATATCTGATTACCTATAGAAATCGCTGCAATCATTTTGCACTGCACATGGTGGCGCTTTTGAATGTTTTCGTTGTCTTTTTTTGGAACCATTTTCAAAAACTGACATGAATGAACCTCAATTGCTCGAGTGTTTTTGCTAATGTCGCACCGCATTTTTTTCTAATATTTATTGCATGGATGACATTCTTTGACCGATTCACCACTCGAAATTTGCTTTCGGATCTTTTTTTTCTTGTTGTGCTTAGTTTTTCCTGGGCCTTCAATTAGAAAAAAAAAACACACAAGCACACATCTGCATTAACAATTTTGCGATCGTATATTTTCGACTTCGCTTTTTCTATTCCTTATCGGTTTAGTGCTCTCATATTTTTCAGATTGCATTTATCGATGTTGCAATTGTTCTATTCCGCCGTTGCCATTCAATGAACGGCCAGAAGATGCGTTACATTTTGTGTGGCGGTTGCACCATTCTTTGTTTTTAAACAAGAGAGAGAAACGAATATTTTGCAAAATCTTCAACTATCTATTTCGGTCTTTTGATTTTCTTATTGTTATTGTTCATTTTTTGTTTCATTCGACTTTTGTTGTTTTTGATTTTGCTGCTACTGTTTCGATGAGGCTGATGCTGTTTTGCATTGCAATAGATCCATATATTTGAGCATTGAAATAAATTTGCATGCTAAAAAAAGAATGAAACGCCACACCGACTCTATGAGCCTGATCTAGAGAGAAAGAGCGAGAGAGAGAGAGATATATATAAAAGAAAATCTACCGAGATTCAATCGCATCGATAAGCAAATTTTGTCATTCAAACGCGATATACGCAATTGTTGTAATCGGCCACCAAACATACCGTGTATATTAAATTGTAGTCGATTTTGGTTTGTAGCCAATTAAAAATGAATAAATAGAAAAAAAAGGCTACATTGCAACTCAAATAAACATTAAGTTGGCGCTTATCGCTCACTACTTCTCTCTCTTTCTCTCTCTCTATTTCTCTCTTCGGCTTAACTTGTCTATTTTCATCTTTTGTATTTGCGTCGCTGTACTTCTCAAATCGGTTGCTTGGCGCGTATCACAGTAGCCAATATTTAGAGTGAGCGTTCAGTGTCCAAAATCAATCGATAATACCTAGATATGCAATACAATAAATGCTCATGATACCGCACCGCGATTTTAATGTTACGCGCGTACACAAAATTTACGATCGATAAAGATATGAGCGTGTTGGAGGATCGAAGCATCGATACATTTCCATTGGTCGTTTACATAGACTCCCATTGATTTGCTCGATCGATAAAATTATTTACTCCACATAAAATCAGAATCGCAGCATTTGGATTTCTATTTGTTATCATTCGAATCCATTCAAAAGATCAATGGCGTTCAATAAAATGTTTTCATTGAAAAAAAAAAAAAAAAGATTCCGATTCAGAGTGTATTAAAAAGAAAACTAATCCATTTATTTACCTTTTTTTTCATTTTATGTGCAGGTGAAAAGCCCCATAAGTGTGTGGTATGCTTGAAATCGTTTAGCCAAAGTTCAAATCTAATCACTCACATGCGCAAGCATTCGGGATACAAGCCATTCAAATGTGGTTTGTGCGATCGTGCCTTCCAACGGAAAGTTGATCTTCGCCGACACCGTGAATGTCAGCACAAAACTACCGACTCAGCACCCGCATCACCGATTCACGAGCTTGCCAACACCCAATATCTGCCCAATTTAACCGACATGGAAGTGACAAGCAGCTGCCTATAATAATAACAACCAAAATCGCAATCTGCGATGGAAAGAGCGAGAGACGTACATCAACGGGATAAATTCCAATCTTCACTAAAAACAAATGATCCCGACATTTCAAGTTTTTTCTCATGTGGATGAAGAAACAAAAAAATCGTTCGTTATTCAAAGAAGAAACATTAAGTGAAAAGAAGAAGAAGAAGTAGAAGTAGGAAAAAAAAACAAGTAAAGAAATCAAAGTTTCAAGGCTCAAATACCAAAATTAGATGAAAAACAAACGTTCTGAAACATATTTATTTTTGACTAGAACTTAAATAGTTGCCATTGGCGAATGAAGTAATTTCAATTAAGATTTAGAAATATAACGCTCAAATATTCGAAAATCCAAAAGTGGTGCCCAAATAGCACGTGAATGGATTTGTATGAATAAACCAAAAACAATGGAATCTTATTATTTAAATAACAAATTATTATATTAAAATGTCTTTGATTAAAGTTGTTCAGTTTTTTCTTTGCAGTTGAAAAGAATTTAGTAAAAACTAAAAAAAATAAGGAACATTTCTTAAAGTTTAGAAGAAAAAAAAACAATGTACCAACAAATAGGAAAGAGACGAAAAAACACAATTAGACAATTAGACTATTATGTTAAAATGTTATTCGCTTGGAAATATGAATTTATTTCATTGTAATTGAAAATATTGAAGATGAATTCCGTCCATGAAGTGTTTGAAATTTTTATTGTAAATCATTCGCGTATGCTACATTTGAAAACGAAAATTGCTTATTTTATCAGTGGATAAATTAATTTATTATAGAAAAAAAAAGATGTTTGTTGATCGCTAAAAACATACAATTTTATTGGTAAATCATTTGATTTGTTTGCTCATTCTTATCTTAAGATAATGTGATTTAATTTAACGGCAACAAAAAAAAAAAGTCAGAAAAAAACCCATTTCATTTCGAATAATTCACGGTCACATGATGAAAATCGTCATTTACGGATATTTCGATAATCAAAATTATGCTTAATGCTTTGTGTAACCAAATTTTGAAAGAAAATTCGCGAAAAATACACCGATACAATAGGCAATAAGAGAATGAAAAAAGAAAAACAAAACTGAAGAAAATAATCAATGGATGAGTTTAAGAGCATTACGTTTAAGAGCGCATTTACCTATATCACACCATCATTAGTTTAATTAAATTTATTTTTCATTTAAAATTGTAAACAAAGGGAAGCACAGCGGTGAAAATGTATGTGAATCGCCTGCATTTTTCCAGCCAGTTGATTTGTGTAAAACATTAAATGAAAACAAAACGAAAAAAAAAACAAGAAGTGAAGATGAAATAAACAAAGAAAGAAACTAGTTATTATTTTATAGAAAACCAAAGAGCACACACAGACATACACACACACAAATACCATTTTGCGAATATCAAAGGCAAAAAAAAATTATCTATTACATGACCGTAGTAAAATTCACAGACTTAATTTTGATGAAATTTCAAAAATTTCAATGATTCGCCTGTGCGTCACATACACGCGTGACCCAATTTGAACACTCGTAGCTTAACTAATTTGAACTTGAACATTCATAATTTATTATTTTTTTTATATTAACTGTTCATTGCTTAGTCTGCAAATCGTTTTTAGTATTTAAAAATATTGTCAACATACAGCGACCAACTCAAAGAATACTTTTTGCATCACATTTTGTACGTAATAATTTGCTCATCGATGTTTTTGACAGCGTTGTACCTTTGATTTCAAGCGCGAATATCTTGACAAAAACCAAGCGAAAGGAAAGAACAACAACAAATTCTTAGGATAATTGTTCAGTTTTTATTCGTTCGTTTTTTTTCCTTTTCAAGGAAACAATCATTCTATTTTAATCTACTATTTAATTTATCTGTAAAGATGTTAATTGCTTCGTTTAATAAGAATCAAAGAAAAAAAAACATTACGAAAATCAGTTTAAATAAAATGAGAAAAAAATAAATACTTATATTGCATTTTATTTATTTACTTATTTAGAATGCTGCTACATAATTACTTAATTGGTAAAGTTTCAAGTTGATGTGACATGAAAAACAAATTTTATAATCCATTTAAGTGTTTATATTGAGTTTTTAATAGCACTTTTATATTGAAATTGTATTTATTTAGAAACTATGAAATTAGCATCGTAAAAAACGTAAAAAAAATCTCTATTGATTCATAAGATTCTTACATAAAAATATTCACAAAATTAATTAGAAATTTTCAGTTGGTTTCTGACTTTATCAGTCAATCTCTGTAAGTTCACTTTTAAAATGACCGATTGCACAAAGATTTTTTTTTAAATTTAAAGCAGATGGTTTCATTCTTGCCGAACATTCTTTTTCGTATAATAATTTGATCATGCATGGGACTTTGACATTTCAATTAAATTTTATTATATACTTGATGATTGAATTAATTTACAATATCAATTTATTTTTCAATTTCATAATATCCAAACCATAGTCAAACACCTTGCCACGTCTCTATAGTTGTCTCTCTGTCATTCACATGAAAATTCACATTTCAGCCATGCCAACTGTTTGGTGTTGTTCCTTCTTGAAAGAATTGAATCAACAAAATACTATATTGCAATATCGCGATATGAAATGTTAATAATAAATTGAGATGTCTGATGATTTATTTTTTTAAACTTCCGCAAGAGGTACATGTAGCTTTGGATTGAAGCGTGATACTCTGAATTTGAAATAATGTTGTGCGACCAAGAGAAATAATTCGATTCGGAGTCAAAATAAAAGCATTTTATTATTGTTTGAACGAAGCAAATAGCTTTTGGTGCATGCACCAAAATTTGAAATGTGATTATTTTCGTTTAACGGTTTTCATGTGACGTTTGCTGGAAAAATGCTGACTGAGACATACTTCCGATGAAACACTTAAATCGCAACACTGGCAATAGTATTGACCCGATGGGGTCCGAAATACCGAATAATCAACGGACGATGAGCCGGACGCCAGCATTTCATCGGCATTCGAATTGATTGATGGTGACTGATTTGATCCATCTAAAATACATTGAGATAATGTATGTGACACTTCTGAATATGGCGGAAGTGCAAGTTGTCGTAATTTTTTTGCATGCTTTGCACCAGCCAAATGCAAATGCATATGCATTTCGGAGGTAACAAAAATATCACACAAATTACAATATTTGCTCACATCAACGGATGACGTATTCAGATTTTTGAGATGGGCTATTTCATCTACCGAGATCGGCGTCGTTACAGCCATTTTAAATGTAGATGCGATTGCAGATGCCGCACCAGCAGCAGGAGTAATTAGTTCTTTTAAATCATCTGGATTTATATCGAAAGAATTTATGGAGCCCCTAGCATTTGTATCAGTCATCGGCTCGTTGTCCATTTCGGGAAATGATTCTACCGGAGGCGGCGGCGGTGGAGGTGATTTTAATACGGACTCTGGCACAACCACAGTCTCTGTATTCGGTGTTGGTTTTGGTTTTAGAAAATCCTTACCAATAAAAAATCGATTCGTTGGATCTTCTTCAATTTTCGATCTGAAAATAAAAAATCGCATAATATTTTTCATTCAAATTGTGATTACTTGATTAACTCACGTTCGAATCCATTTATTGTTCGCATCGTAGTATCCGGGTCCACCGGGCTTATTTTTGCCAGCCAAAGCACTGTGAGAATTCAAAATTTAAAATGTCAAAAAATTGAATTAAAACAAACGGTGAATACAAAAGAAAAGCAAAAACACATAATAACATACTTTTTATGTTTTCTGCCCATATTATGTTGTTTGGCATGTTGCAATGAGGTTAGAGCTAAATCACAGACATCGCAGTGGAGCGCATTCGGTCCAGTTGGACCTTTCGTTGACTAAATTTCAGAATGGAAATTCAATTAATATGTTGAATATTCGATCGATTAAAAATAGTAACATTTTTTTAGTGAACATACTGCATGACGCTTCGGAACTGGTTCGCCTGTTCGTTCTGACCACTCCAATAGCCAATGATTTATTTTTTTCTCGTGATTCTTTGATTCATAATGGAGTCGAGCGGTCGATGGTGAATTTAGTTTTGTTGAACATAAATCACAACACAACGGTTTGAATAATTTTATGAGCTCTTCTGGTAATCCTTCCGCTGATGGCATCACTACAAAAAAATACAAAAACAAAAAAAAAAACATTTATTTTTCAAGAAACAAGTCATAATCAAATTATTACACGCCATGTCATTTGCTAAAATGTCAAAAACACATTATTTTGTAAAATCAATCAAAGGGTCCTATCGTGTTGAACACGAAATAATATTTTTTTTTGAAGCGAACGATCAATGAAACAACGATGTGTATAATCCGGTATTAGCATGTACACTTCATAATGAACTTACTGAAAAGTGAGCTGCGCTTAGTTGGTTTTGGTACTGACATTTGTTGAATTGGCTCAACATTTAAATTCGGCGCCTGATGAGGTTGTGATGTTAGTTGAGGTGCTGGTTGAAAAATTGGTAATGTTGGTAATGGTAATATTGGTGGCGGTCGTGGCTGATTGACCATAGCCAATGGTGAAATATATGATTCCGCCTCATTGTCAAGGGGTTCGTCTTCGCAACCAGGTGGCGGTGGGTTATTGAGAGCAAAATGGGCTTCTTTGTCCGTTGTTTTCAATGGAATTTTATATCCTTTGAGCGAAGCAAAGTATTCACCTATCGAAAAATCATTATTCACAATTATACAAATGTCAAACACTAACATAAACCTTCAACAATTACCCGTAAAAATGTCATCGCTATTCATTTTTTTCTCGCCAATTAAATTGTTCAATTCAATTCATGTTCAATCTTCCAAACAAAGTTTGAATAAAAAAGGTTATTCATTTGAATTTAAATAAAATAAAAGAGTCAATGAATTTACTTGTCATAAAATAACACTAACAACACGAGACAAAAGCGCATACAAAACAGAAGATAGAATTAGTTGACAGTCGAGCTGTCAGCTGTTTTAACTAAACGAACACAATGGAAAATGTGTGCGTTCAAAGTAAACTGTTGTATTTTATGAGCGGTGTTGCATTTTTTTTGGACTAGGATTATTAATTCGAAAGTATTATTTGGTTATATTTAAATGAAACGGGCGCCCATTTTCCCATAAAATGTCAATTGATGGAATATTTATTTAAAACCAAAAACAAAAATACTCTAGAATTTTCGTTGCTTTCTCTGGAACAGTACAAGCATCACATTGATTGGTACACACATACACATACATATACACATACATACCTCACACAAACACGCAACGAATGAACAACGATAGACAACGATGACGACGACGACGACGACAACAACAAGAAGGATAGTGGTGTTGTGACGATCGGTACGATGCGATTGTGCGTGTGTTGCATTCCATGGTTGCAATCGGTTCCCGTAGTACGTTCGTAATTGATGTGTATTGTGCGCGCTGATTTGTCTTGTGTATATGTGCGAAATACGATTCGATTGCCATATTATCGCGTATCACATTGAATAGAAAAAAAAAACATTGGTATTTTGGTGTTGGTATATTCGTTTATTTTTCTCGCTCGCTCTTTTTCATTCTTAAATTTGTGTGTCATTGATTTTGATATATGGTCATAGTTTTACAATACCGACAACAACATTGAAACAGCGATTGTTTCAATGATATTTGATGTAGTCAGACGCAGAAACAAAGACTACGACAACTGAAAAAGCATTTACGTAAAGTGAATGAATATACAAGGGAAAAAGCACACATTCAAATCGAAAGAAACAGAAAGAGAAGGATAGAAGAAGCGAGAAAAAAAAACTACACACAGAGAGCAACAAAAAAAAAGAGAAGAAGAACGAACAAGTAAAGAAAGACCAAAGTCAAAACGATAAAACAAGCCTGAAAACGGAAAAATCAGACACACACACATCGGTTAGCGGGCCAGAGAGCGATCGAAGGAGATAGATACAAGAAGCAAAAATATTATTATAATATTGAAAAAAAAAAAAAAAACGAAAGAACGAACGACATGCTGAAAACCAGTTAAACGTGAATCTAGTTTATATGAATATAAACTAATTTGTGTGTCTTGTGCATCTTATTTATTTATTTGATTTTCTTTCGCTCGGTTTTTATTTTGTTGTTTTTTTTTTTCTTCATCATCACAATCATCGTTAATATTGCGCGCTGTGTGTATTAAATAATTCCCAATATTATTTTGTGTATATTCGGTTGGGATTTTCGAGTCGGTCCCACTGTGTGGTTAGTGCTTTTTTCTGTGTATTTATCACAACAAATTTGTAAATTTCCACTTGTGTGTAATTTCTTTTTTGTTGCTCAATTCATTTTTTTGCTTAAATTTCTTCTGTTTTTACTTTGTGTGGATTACCTCGCCACATTGGCTGATACATCTCTTTTTTGCTGTATTGACATCGCACATATATTTGTGTTTTTTTTTCTCGTTCGTTCGTTATTTTCTTAATTTGATCATCATCATCATCGTTAGAGTCGTCATCGTACGAATGGTTTGTGTTAAATTCATTTATTTCACTTCCTTTTCCCAATCATTTTCTCTGTGCAAAATTTTAAGAGTAAAAAAAATTCGAGTTCAGTTAAATTCAAGCCATCCAAAAAAAAAAATGAGCCAGTAGAATAGTTTCGATTAGTTTTGTGCGGTGTGTGCGACTTTTTCTCTTTCATTCTTCGTGTCCCATTCCCTGTGTTTGTTCGAAAAAAAAAAAAACATTTTTAGTGTGTGTAGTATTTGCGATTTACTCATCGAATTGTGTGTTTTTGTGTCGACAATTTTACAACTCAATTATTATAGTCGCTCGCATGAATACATACGTTGTACACAATACACGAGAACATATAAGAAGAAGAGCAACCAATGTCCTCGTCAATTTTGTGCACCCATGGATTCGATCCAAAAGTGGAGCGATGTACCAAATTTTACAACCAAGTATAGTTCGAGAGATATGGCATTGAATTTTTTTTTTTCGTATGATATCGCATTTATAAGCATGCTATTTGGCTTTGTTTGGCTTGAACGAATTATAGAAATTTGTGAACAAAGATTTGTTGTTGTGATTTTTTTTCCTTGAACAACTAAAGAAATATTTTTCGTATATTTTTATTTTGTCGTTGTCATTGTCGTTGATATAACTCTCTTGTCTAAATTCGCCGATATGTTGCTCAAGTGCGTGCAAATGTGTAATCAGTTTTCAATCGAAGCGTGCTAAAGTAATGAAGTGTAAGTGAATATAATTTCTGTGTATAAATATACGCTGCCTATGTATATCATTCATAAAATTGGTTGAAGTAGCCAACGGGTATGTGAGTGCGAGTACGAAAATAACAGGAGAAAAACAACCGTACACAAGAAGAAAGCTTGACAAGTGTGAGAGATAATGCATATAAACACCGAAAGGATCTTAATATGGCTCACTCTCTCTTTCTACCTCCATCCCTCTCACATCGATCGATTGGCATACGTTTTGTGTACACAGAAACCGAACGTGTCAATTTTATAACATAGTCAACTCAATTGACCGTGATTTGGTTTATCCACTTGATATGAGCAACAGCTAAAATACGGTTTTTGTTCGGTCAACAGCAGCAGAGATAGAGAGAAATTGATAGACAAAAAGAAACTGCGATTTGGTGTGTGTGTGTGTGTTTATACCTATGTGTGTGTATGAGAGAGAGAAAACACCACAAGCCAAGCGACGTCTCAATCAATCCATGAATATTCCGATAAATTATAAAGCGCATTTATGCATGCAAGAAATTTTCTCTGACATGATATACCAATGATTGAATATATATTATGTGTCGACGGAGCCGCATTTGACAACAATTAATTACTGTTCATTTTGCGGTCACATGTATCGATCGGTATCATTACCCCCTTTAGCTAAATAAATCCAAATTGTCAAGTGTCAACTTTTGAAACGAAACACACCGAGATACAGATAGACACAGAGAGAGAGAATGAAATTAGTAATTGAAAACATAAAAAAACACACACAACAGTCGGCCAATATATTGCAATTATAAATGTGTGATATTGAAAATTCCCTTTGATCTATTAAGCCGCCGTTTTTGTGTCTGTCAATTCAAAATGCCGGAATTTACGCTTTTCTGCACTAATTGACTCAATAGAAAGCATAGACAGAGGTATTCATTCAGACTGTAAAAAATTATATCGAGTTTCGTACAAATTGGAAATGGCATGAAACACAGATTTTACAACATCTGAATTAAAATCTGAAAAGCATTTGTGAGCAATTGCATTTTTCGTTTTCATCATTTTTTTGAATCATGAATTTTTACGAGTTTTTCGACCTAAACATCTATTCAGTTCTTTTCGTTTTTTTCTCTCTCTCTTGAAAACAGACGCGACACACTCCAATGGTCTTTTAAATACATCAGAGACCGTTTTTCCCTCTGTTTTTCTCTTTTTTCGTAATTAAAAGCAAACACTTTTCATACAACGATTCTTTTGGATGTTGCTTTTTTTTATTCGTGTACTCATATTTCCATGATGTTTTATATATGCACATATAAATAGAATTGAACGTCGATAGAAAAACGACACATACAGAGTTAAAAGTTTGCAATAGAGTGGCAACACAATAGATCCCTCCGACGACAATCACTAAATACCGACAATGTCTTTTGCATATACTTTTATACATATATGCTCTATAATAATTGTCTTTACGGCTCTCATTCTTTCTATCTCTTTCTCTGATTCACGCGTGTATTTATGTATGTCTTGGGCGAGCATGATTCGCTCTTTTAATTTGTTGTCATTAGCTTTTCACAAAATGTATGTGTGAGCGTGTGTGTGTGTGTGTGTGTATGTTTGCATGAATCGAAAGAAATAAAATCATAGCATATGTGCGATTTTCCCTTTTAACAAATTCATTTCCAAACGTCGTCATTATTATATATTCAAATGGAATCAAAGAGGTGTAAAAAATGAATTGTTTTTATCGTAATGCAAAGTGGCAATGGCAGAGACGGTCAACATAATTATATTTATGACTTTTTGATAGCTCAGAAAAGCCGATATGGATCTTTTATTTCACCCTCCACGCTCTTCATTTTTAACCACATGAAAAATGGTTATAAGAGTGTTGTTCTTCCCGTCTCTCTCTCTCTCTCTGACGTCCTCATTTTTGCTCTCATTTCTGTATACATAAACGCTTTCCACGAGTGCATGTATATAATTTTGAAGCGTTTTCATATGCTTCGTACTTACGCGATGCAATGAATAACGACAATGACAGCGACGACAAAATCGACAACGATGGAGAATCGGCGAAATTCCAACACAAATCAATAATTAAAGCGTTGAATGCAAATGCCGGCTGTGGCATTTTACTCAGATGTCATATTACGAAACACATTTTTGTATTAAAAAAAACGTAACACGATCGCTTCAGTTAAGCGTGTTTTTCCGTTTTTTTTTTTTGCTTGTGATGTGTCACACGCGAATTGCTATAGTGAAAAAGAACTAAGAATATGATATCGTTTTATCGATAGTAAAAGTGATTTGAATCTCGTATCCAATTTGTGAGACTTTTTTTGTTCGCTTTTTGCGCCACTTTATAGACGAAGTTTTTTATTTCTTTTTCGTGCTATTGCTTGCGAACTCGAATTTTGTATCGAAAATACATTTGAAACGCGTTGAATTAAGGGAATTTATTTCTGTTTTTTTTTTTGCGTATAAAATTAATTTATGTGTGACTGTATTTTTGTTATAGAAAATTCTATTCATTTATTGAAACATATATAGGTGCGATGTCAACGACAACATGTAATGTGCGTGGCAAACAATCAGATGGATTGATACAAAAAGTTGGACCAATGAAAGCCACAATTCCAATGTCATCGTTGCTTCGGCCACTGAACAGTGCTGGTCTTACATCAACTCAGTCAAATCGGCTTTTTAGTGCAATGTCACCGCCTATGCGGCTCATTTCACCCGATCACAGTAGCTCCGGTCATCGTAGTCCTGGTGCCAATAACTATTATAAAGGTAATATTTACACGATTTATCGATCGAATCGTTTTCGTAGACCTCAATTGATGACATTTTTCTCCATATTCTCATTCACAGGCAAAACACATTTATTAGACAGTGCAACTTTGTCATCATGCATACGACGCACAGTAAGTCTGGATGCACTTATTCCAGCCAAATCAACCGATGTCGCTAATAAAACGGTATGCTTATTTTTCATGATGGAAATCGCAATTTGGTGATTTTCAAATAGAAAAATCTTATTATTTCTTTTTCTTAACATTAGCCACACATTGTTTTCAATAATAAAATTGATATTAATGATTATTCTCATTCACATAGCATCGAACAACTACTTATACAATACTACAATTGGACAAAGCAACGCAAACTGATGAATCTTGTATTTTCGGTATCGATTCAAATGTGGACTTTTCAATTGATTTGTCCACAAATAAATCGGAAAAAGTTTTACGGCAAAGATTACAACGGATTCAACAACGAACTGGAGAGCATTCCGTTAGTTCACAAACTTTAAGCCCGATTCAAAGTGAGTTTTATCTTGTTCTAGGACAATAAAAAATGGTTAATTGAAATGAATATTTTCATTTTGCTTTCAGCGAGTCCAGTATTGATACCACCGCGATCATGTGCGACACATCGTCCAATGCGTAGTTCAGTTGAAGGATTGAATCAAGAGATTGAAAAACTTGTATTAGTACCTGGTCAACCACACTCTTGTCGACCAGAATCTAGCCATGTAAATCATATCATAATTCTTTAACATAGTTAATAACAACTAATTTTTATTTAATTTTCTGCTATCACAGTTTACTCGTGGTATACCTGAGGGTCATCGAGCGCCATTAGCTGATATTTTGCACAGTGATACTCGATCGGTTAATACTCAAACGCCAAATCGAGATTTATTATCTTCAGGTAGATTTTCGCCTGAGTTCTTTAATTTCCTTTTTTTCATCTAAAAATTTTTCACAGATGAAAGTCAGAGCACATCACCTGATGATAATGTATCGTCAGAAGCTTCGCCACGTATTAATCGATTTCTAGCCCGATTGCCACCTGATGGTTGTGAGAAAGTAAGAATTTTTTTTATCAAATTAATTTGTTAGATTACTTATTTTTGCTTCAACATCGTATACATCATGTATTCAATTTTGAACAATTTGAACTTCAATTTGAATGTTTTTATTTTTGACAATAAATATAGGTATGCTTGAAGTCAAGTGATACAAGTCAAGATCATCTGTCTCCATCGTCAGCCATATTTAAGCCACCGGTTGGTTTCAAATTGCGCCCATCATTGGGATCGGCATTTCAGCCGCTTCAACCGATACCAATATCGGCTGGAGCTGTATCGTCTGCCATTGATGATAGTAGCATTACCGATGCATCAAGTACAACTCCGAATTAATTTTCTTAGTCACTTATTAGCAAACTGTAAATGGACATCAATTGCCATTCATTCTTCATCTGCTGCTTCTGTGAGATATATAGTGCGTGTGCGCTGCAGATGATCAAAAATGAAAACAAATTCAACATACAAACACAAAGCATGTAAATTGTTTTCAAACACATCCAAAAGCATGTTCATTTCCAAAAAAAAAGGAATATTTGTAGTTTTTAACTCATAAACAAGAGTGCAACAAATGAACATTTTGTAAATTTTCATACAACACGGAAAAAGAAATCCATTATATTATTTTAAAATATTTTTTTATTCATATGAAGAAGATAAAAATACGAGAAAAAGAAAATTGTTTTGAGGAAATGAGACCAAATCGGATATAACAATAATAAAAATAGGCATGAGATATCGGTCTCATTGGGAATTTAATGAGCAATGGTCATTTTGAGAAAAGTCATGTGAAAGTCTGATGCAAAGCATTTTCATTGAGTAAGGGATTCAAACAATTCAATTTTTCCCCCATTCCCTTTAGAGAAACACAATAATAACGAACCAAACAATGTGAAAAAAAAAACAACAACTAATAACTAACAGAAATCAAATCTATTTTGTATTTTCCACTTTTTTGTCGGATACAATGAAACTGTTACATTAATATTCTATATTCAAATAAGCTGCTTGATAAATATTTCACACACACAATACATTGAACGAGAAACTGGCACATAATTGAATAAAATCCAAAACCCGTTGACAGCATACGTAACACACAGACACAGAATCTAATATATCATTTAAAACAAAACTCTATATACCGTATATAGGATTTCTTAAAGGACAAATAACAAATCAATTAAACAAACAGATTCGACTCTTTTTTCATAGCAATTTATTAGTGACAAATCAAACAAACAACATGTCCAATCATTCTTCACTTCATTATTAGTGATGAGTTTGTAATAGTGCAAACAGAAAATAGCAGAAGAAATTCTTCAGTTCATTGAAACGTGCAATTACAGGGTATATATTCTGATTGTCAATGGACGTTAAAAAGATTTCGTTTTGTTTATTTTCATTTTGGTTCAAATGAAGCACACCTTTTACTTCATGCAAAAGCAATGAGACCGCAATGAAGACAGGCACGCTTTTGTCATGTGGACACCATCATTTTATTCAATAACTCAGTAGCAAACTAGTTTCTGATCACAAAAAATAATTAAGGAAAGAACCCATTTAATTTTGATACACATATAAGGATCAAGAAAAAATGAACAGAGCATTACATGTAAAATTAAATTTCTCTTTAATATACTTGTAAAATGAGCTAATGGATTCTGACACATAAATTCCTTTTTTGAAGAGAAATTTACTATTCAATTAACTTTTTATTTAATTGACGAATTTTTTGTTTTTCGTATTTTTTGTTTGTCTTCAATTTTCCATTATTTCCGCATTTTTTTTTTCTTCAAATACGTACAAATTAATTTTCAAATATTTTTTTAAATGTTCAGTTTATACTGAACCTTAAACAATAAGAACCTAAAAGTAGAAAACAAAAATTGTAATTAAAATGTGAAAGATTTGCTTATTTGACCCTTGTGTCACATCAATTTTTATTGAAAAATAGCAAAATAGAATTTTGAACTGTGTACACGTACAGTGAGTGATATAAGTAAGGATCTAAAGAATAAATGAACATTGTGGACATCAAATACACAAATGTTGATGTGAACATTTTTTGGAAAATCTTTCGGCTTTAAAGAACACAAACACACACATATAGATATAATCCACACAAAAGATTTAGCATTGTACAAGAAATTGAAGTGAAAAACAAACTTACACAATTGAAAAAAACCTGGAGTATTCAAAAGAGAAAGCAAGAAATGAAAAAACAAAAATAATAATACAAGAATCAAGAAATATATTTTTATTTTTTTATGAATGAAATATTTTTAAGCTAAGCAAATTTAATATAAGAGTTGGCATGGGTTGGGATCAATTCATACATGATAAAAAAAAAATTTCGAACAACAATAACAAAAAAAAAAGTTGCAGTGAAAACGTGTCGTCGTTGGCACAGAGTGCTTGAATCGCGAATAATGTTTCATTGAAATGAATGTTTAAACAAAAAAAAAATAGACACAAAACCAAATTTTACAAAATTCATAAGTTCGACGAACTGAGTTCGTTAATATATTTTTAACTTCCATTAGGTCACACACACATACATAAAACTGTGCAAAAATAAATCAAAATGTGATTAACATTGGATTAACGTTTCCCGACGAATTGCAAAGAGAGACATTTGCTAAACTAAAAAAAAAGAATTCGAACGATTTAAAAAATGGAAAATGAGAACAAAAAAAAAATGTGAAAATTCGGCTGTTAAAAATCTTTACAAATTTTAATATAAAAATGAGATAAAGAGTAAAAAAAATGCATGTTAAAGAAAAACGTATTTATTTTGGAATAATTATTTAACGTGACAACAGTCGACGCACACACCGCAATTTAAATTATGGGAAAGTAATTTATGCCAAAAACAAAACAAAACACGAAGAATATGGAAGTTTGTGCATGAAACGGTTGTTTTTTTTTAATTAGACGAAAGAAAAAAAGAAAAATGATGCAAATTCACAAGTCAAATACAAATACAATACGAGATGTGCAATCAAGCGCCTGGAAAACACACGGAGAGAGATTAACAAAAAACTGATTTTCAACTGAATTTGCATCGTACACACTTACGTCTGGTTGAGCAATGATACGAGGGAATGAAAATGAAAACACAAACATTTAAAAATTTAACGAAATCAGACAAAAAACAAAAAAAAAATCTGTACTGCACAAGTTTTGAATTTAACTATTTAGCCTTTGTTGTAACTTGAAAGTGATAACCACTCGATTAACGTTATGTGTAAATTTGAGACAAACAAATATATCTTAAAGAAATACACAAAACACACAAGAAATGAAATTAAACAAAGTTACAAGTTATAGATTATTTATGTAAAAGTGTAAAATAAAAGAAGAAAAAAATTGATAAAGAATGAAAGAGTCGATGCTTGTGAGGGACGAAATCAGATAGAGGGTAAGACGGAATTTATGAGACATTTGTCATTTGCACGTGAATAATAACGCGATGATATGTACTCTCAAATGCAGATATATCAATTGATAAACGACGATGATTAAGATAAAGTCAATAAGTTATTTCTTTTATGATAAGGTTCACAACAGGAAACAACGTTTTTTCTCTCTCTTTTCGTTTTATCTAATTTACACATAATTTACGTTGCAAATATAATGTGCAAATTAATTTTAATGAAAATAGTAATTCCAATAGAACCACTTTTTATTTGCATGACATTCATAAATCAAATAAACATGCACACGTAACGAACGATGTAATACAATCAGGACAGACAAAAAGATGATATCCAAACTAAGCAAACAGAATAAATGGATATTTTATTAAAAGTATTTACAAAAATATATTTAAAATGTTGTTTTATTTACATTAATTTTGGTTTTGGTATTTTGTTGATTTTTAAAGGAACAATTTAAAAAAATATATAATCAAATCATATTTTTATTTAAATCTTTGAAATTATTTTACTTTTCGTTTTATGTTTTGATAAATCATTGACATTTTCATGATCATAGTTCAGAACGTCAAATATTCGTTTATTGGTTTACATCTTGGATATGCGTTCAGCGCCCAAAAGTATGCATTCATTTCTTTATTAATTCAATGCGCTTTTGTGTGATGTTTTAAGCACATTTAAACCACATCGATTATGAATACTTGAATTAACACTTAGTGCATTGAATTCTTTGCATAAAGCCTGTCGAAGTGCAAAAGAAAATTTCAAGGTGTGTGGTATATGATCGGTTAATATTTAAAAGTTGCTATTTATTCTGGAAAAAATGTCCTCGGGAGATTTTTATATTTGCATGAAAATGTTTGAGAATTTGATTCTCAAATGGTCTCACTCCATTGGCACTTTAAATACCATGGGAAATAACTTTCATGAGCTCTAGATCATAGATTACAGAGAGGGGGCAATGACTTGTTATCCATGCATTTTACCTAGTGGTAAGTTTTACAATTTGGCGTTCGTTTCAGAAGATCTCGTAAGTATACTTTACGGACTGTTGCTATAAAAATCTATTTGATTAAAGAACTATGCCAAAAAGTTTGCCAGTGATTTTATGCATTTTTATTTTCAATTAACACATTTATTTTTGTGCATTTGAAAGTCAGACGTATATGCCAGTAACTGTCATTCATGTCGAATCACATAGAAAATAATAACGTCGAAAAACTTTTAATGATGAATGATAAAATGTCAAGCACAATTTTGACGCCTTTTTGAATGATCCGGTTTTTGATACCAAAGATAGATAAACCCGAATCGTTTTTGAATGTAAATTAATACATAAATTCGTGAATTTTTTCGAACGAATGTATTTTAAATGAAATGACGTATTTTTCTACGAATGATTTGGTATTTAATTTCAAAATCGGACGCAAAAGTTACCAATATGTATTCGTCGAATAAAGGTCATTTCGCGGAAAATAATATAACTACCTGAATGGCTAAAACTTTTTTCAGTTTTTTTTAGAATGAATTTTGAACAATATGTATAAAAGGTATACAAATTTTGGCCACAGAAACTCGAAAACAAGACAAACTAGAAAAAATTAGAATTTCTTAGGTCATGTCAAATGTACACGTATATCAGATGTTCTGCCTACATTTACGGTAACACATTCAAGGAACAAACTGTTGTTGTCAAAATATCGAAATATACCAAATAACTGAATATTTCGCCTCATTTCAATTGAATAGTCAGCTTAATAAAACATCAACGTTAAATACGTTTTACTAAATAAAAACTATGGGTCGATTTAACATTTATGATGAGATTCGCATCCGTTAAAAATTCAAATTTGATCAAATATATCAAATGATATATCCACTTCAGCTAACAATTATTTCAGAATATTTTTACATTAAAAATGTATATTTGACAAATACAAATTACAGTTGAATGAATCCACTTGTTTGATTTACATCCATTGTATAAATAATAATGTTTCAGCTAAAAGAATACGACATTGCATTTTTCATTCCAGTTTCGATTTTCGAAAGTCATTTGAAATGAGTTTGACACTGGAAGTTCAACCGCCGTCACATTGGAACGATTCAGAGAAATGCGAATATCATCATTTTTTTACATTTTAAAATGTGCCTTAGCATCGTGCCAGTGTTTTTAATTCACACAACAGTATGTTAAGTAACAAGCGTATTTATTGTTCTTCCAATTCTACTAAGAATTCTCTGTCTTAAGACACTCTCCTAGCACAAACCACTTAAAGTTACTTGGCTTAAAAACATGTTTATTATTTCATCGTTTTCGGAGATTTTATTGAACAATTTCTGGGCTCCATTACTGTCGAATCAAGTTTTTCAAAACACAAGTTGAATTGAACTCCAGGGGGATTCCTATATGAAACCAAACTTTTTACTCGTTTGACGACGTGTGAGTAATGATCACCATAAAGTTCTTCAAGAATTGTGCAACTTGCATGTAGTAAAAGCCCTTGGGCTAACAGGCAATTATTTTAATAAACAGATAAGATTTCCTACGATGACTGAGCAGATCTTCATACTTCACATTTAATATCATTCATCTTCTTTTTTCAAAATTTTAAAATTTATAGCCCAAAACTTAGTTTTTTCTTAAGATCTTTTAATCACACAATAAAAATAGCCAGCTAATTGTGTGATAACTCCAACGTTTCTCTCTGAATTTTTGTGTTTTATTTATGATTCATTTTATCGTGTCTACAAAATGATCTTCGTGTGAGAATAGGTAAAAACGGTATAATTCTGAATTTGCAAGGGGTCCAAAAAAAGTCGATGCTCACGTTTAAAGAAAAAGAAAAATGCACGATTTTTAATTTCTAAATAATTAAGTCAATTATATTTTATTTTAGTTCAAACTGAAAATGATTATCTTATAAATATAAATTTTGATGTTAAGAAATGGCTGGAAATGAACGTTGTAGTAAGAGTCTTCAATTGCGATGAAATTTATTTATCTGACAATTTAAGTTGAAATCAAATGAACCGGCTCCATTCAGTTTCGAAATTGAAGTTCGAAGACTTTGAAACTTCATACTCTTCGATCCATTTCTTTAAGGAAGAAATTGTTTAAATTATAATACAGAGAATACTTATGTTTTTTTATGTTTTTGCTTCTTTTTTTTTTGCATGTTACAACCTTAGAAATGTGTTTTGTGTGTTTCAATGTAACTGATATTTTAGTAAAATTATAAGAAATGGAATCGAATATTTGTCCAATTGCATGATCTCCTCGATTTAATTTCGAACAAATTTGATCGAAATCACATACAATATGCAAACAAATTTGAGTTTGTTTCAGTGTATTGTTCGATTTTTATAAATCTACGTTTCAAATAAAATGTTAAAATAAACTCGTACGTATAAATTATGCACTAAATATGCTATGTCATACTTTATGAAAGAAAATAATCAATTGTTAGAGTATGAAAAATATGTGAAAATAACTGTGCCACTGCAGCCCCATTTGTGAACCGAATTTAAATCATATCGTTCGTCCGATCTCAGTCAAAATGTAAACTAAACCATATATTTTGTACATACAAAGTGACATCAATGAAACGGACATCGACCGATACAAACATGGTCTCGCCATCAAAGCAGTGCTGTGAATCCGGTCCAATTAATAGCGCCATCATTAGTCAGCCTATGCGAGGGCCGATTCGCCGCCGGGATTTGGCCGGCAACGGTAAACAAAGGCGCTAACAGAGAGATCGTCATCAGTCTTGAGGCATACTACATTATTTTCCGTCGGACATACACATCTGAACATTTCATAAAGAAGAAAAAAACACAATAAATTGATAATTTAAGTGATTTGAAACAATGAAAATTATTCCAAAATTGAAATGAAATTCGAAAGAAACGTAAAAAAACCATTGTGCCAACTTACGTATTCTTCATGAAATAGTCCACTTTACGTGTGAATGGAGTGTAAACAGCCCAGCCACATGGTGTATTCTCTTGGCATATTGCTTCTTCTTTTGGTGTTGTTGAGCTTACTGCCTCATCGGCTGAACGATGCAACTGAAATGGGAAAGAAACAATTTCAAATAATTTCTCATTCTCATCCAACTTAATAATTATAAAATGGAAAAGAAAAAAAGAATTGAGATTGAGCCGAGACAAAAAGTGTCATCAAATCCGGTCATTTATGCAGTTCATTAAAAATGATTTAGGATCAAACAAAAAAGGCGCCGTACAACTTCAAAATGAGCACATTATTTATTGTGCTATTATTGTAGTGCGTATTGTTAATGGCGTTCATTCTAATTGATGCGAGATTTATGGTTGAGTCGGACTCCTACAAACTCCTTCCAAGTATTTTAAGCGTGTGTTAACGAAATCGATATTATTAATGATGGTGTTACTGTTTGTTATAATTGTTATTTGAAAAGTATTTGGTTTTTCGTTCCGAGAAGTTCATGACAAACGTTTGTTGTTGACCACCTGTGAGAATGCGAGCATTTGCACGTAGGCTCGACACAATCGGTGTGCGTCTATTGGCCCATACACTGAGTGAGCTTCAGAGTTCAACAGTGAGTAACAATACGAATATGAATCGAACCAAATGAAAGAGAGCTAAAAACCAAACAATGACATTCCAGAGTGCAGAACAATAGAATATAGCATGTGTCGGCATAGCTGTATGAAACGTACAAATGGAATGTGGTGTATTGTAAGTGTACGATCGGATGGGCGCTCGTTTTCTTTTCTTGTTTGCTTTACATTCATTCTTTTCATTCTTTGACAGAAGTATTCATCAAAATTGGAAAAGAAGCGGGAAAATAAACAGTTCGATTGTGATTTTTCATTGAAGAATCTTTCAATACATTCGTATCGGAATTCATACTTTGGTCAGATAAAAATGCATTTTGTTTGCGCCATAGTTTCGTTTCGTTTTTTTTTTTTTTTCTGATATGACTTAACAGAAACTGTGCTGCTGCAACAGTTAAATTGCCATACAGTGACACACCCACTTTTGTTCATTACATATTGTTATCGACAAACTGGCAAGATTCGACTTATACATTCTTTTTTGCGCCAAGTTTGAGGTCAATTCTATTGAATTTATTACGCACATTTATTTTACGCTGAAGAAAATCAATCAATATGGTTCCAAAAACTAGAATTAGTTGCACATGCGACCGACTTTGTAATCGTTAACTGATGCAATTTGCAATAAATGAAAAATAACCGAAACAACACTTGGAATTGAAAGTGGTTAAAATGTAACAGAAGTAACTTAGTAAAGCAAAGCATACATGAAATGAAACGAAGAAAATGATGAACAAATGCTACGCAAATCATTTTCAATCAAAATACGAACTCACTTTAAAACTGTACACAACGATTTGTGGAAGAAAAAAAAAACTGTATCAAAATCAATGAATTGACGTCGATCGCTTGAATTGTTGATATTTTACAAATGATACACAAGTTTGATTGCGCATTGTGAAGTATGAGCAGTCGACCCAGTGCTTGCAGATCATCTCTCTTTCTTTCGTCCGATAAATATTATTGTGTGTATTTTGTATGTTATATGTCATCAGAAGAAGAAGAAGAAGAAAAAATCAAATACAAATACACAATAATATAGTATATGCGTCACATGACCGGGTTGTAGAGGAGAACATCGCTCTCGCGTCTACAGTCAATCGAATTGAAATGTGCAAAAATTTCATGTGAGAGTATGAGAATTCTATAAAAAAATAATAATAGAGTCTCTCAAACAAAAACAACGCGCAAACATAATCAATTTTTACGAAAGAAAATGAGAAGACGGAGGAAGAGAAAGAGAGAGATAGAGAAAAAACAGCGTGATGCGCAACATTCATCTAATCTCGGTCAAAATTTATGAATGAAAATTTCCATTTAATATGTTCTTTCGCCCATTTGTCTTGAGTCGCACACTAGAGCTGCATCATTTTGCGTTTGTGATTCCAGTTTTAGTTCGCATTTAGCTTTAATGCCCGATATTAAATAAAAGAAGAAGAAGAAGAAAAAAAACTTAATAACAACACTTTACTTTTTTAGGCATTATCAATTGATTGACTTTATCTGAGGCAGTGTGATCTTATCACCTCATGACTGAATAGGGAATATCACGATCGATGAATTTTAAAATAAAAACCTAACGAGAACGAATTCATTTGCCGATTCTATTAACGATTCACAATATTTTATATTGATGTTTATATTCTCAATTGAGGGAGGGAATGTGCTCGAGTGAGTGAGCTGGCAAGAGGGAGCGAGAGAGAGAAAGGGAATGCGCGCGAGATGACGACAGCAATGGTCTTCTGAGAATTCATATAGATATTTTTTTTCTTCATTCGCGCGGTGTGAATGTAAACAATTCCATTCAGTATTTTATTTTGTGTCGCTACATATTGTGAGGTTAAAAAAAGAACGTTCTCTCATGGAATATTTTATGGGAATTATATTTTTTGCACATGAATCGATCGTTATCATAAATTCCTTCAACATAAAATCGCATAAAAATGTGTGTGTGTATATATGTACGAATAACGACGATCGATTTAACTAAAAAGAGGAGGAAAAGGCATTTAAAATGAAAATAGTAAAAGAAAAAGTCTTTTTTTTATTCATTAATTCGCTCCAACGATAATTTCGTAAAAACATATCAATTTAATATGACGCACACAATGTTATGTTTCAATATAAAGGTCACATAAATTTGCGTTTTTTCTTTCTTTCCTTTTTCCAACAAAGCTTCACACGCACACAACACCGACAAAGAAAAATAATCATGATAATCGACATGACACGGGCATGATTATCGATTGGCTTTTAATGATGCACATTTTTGGCGTTTGGTTTGGCTATTATTATTTCGATATATCGTCAATGCATTTGATCGGTAGCTGAAAGCTCAGATATTTTTGTTTGTATCCAGTAATTCTAGCGAGAGAATTTTTTTATTTTCAAATTGAGCTTTCAAATGTTTAAAAATGTGAAAACAAAATGTCGAAAACAAGATACAACCAGAGTGGTGACGCTTGAAATAGAAAATTGAATCGTCACTAATTTGGCTGCGATCGTTTTATTTTTATGTAATTAATAAAATATCCGAAACAAAACTGCGCGCAAACGAATTACGTGCGGAGAACAACGCGGCCACTGATCGACCCAAGACATAAATAAATATGCATGAGATACAATTTGAAAATAGCGCGCTTGCGAATCGCCAATAGCCGTTGTAATATAATACGCAAAAAAAAAATACGAAGAAAAAAATCGGCAAGCACAATGTATGGCGATATATCTATTTGATTTATGGCAAATTTTTGTGTGATTCGTTAGTGTTTCCGACCTTTTATTAACATTTTTTTTTATTTTACTGTGTTTGTCTGTTTACTCTTCTCATTTTCATCAAATAACTTAAAATTGTTTGCATCAAACGCCTCTTTTGATGCGTAACATTTCATGTGAAATGGTCGCTTGGCCAATAACATGTTTCATCCGGACACATGTCTAAACATTTTTACTGTGTTTTTATTATTTTTGTCGTTGTTTTGGCTAGAATTAATGCAGCACCGATTTCATCATTCTCTGATTCATTTAAACTGTTTCATCTAGACTCTCATTCATATGCAGTGTCGCAAAGCAGACACTTGGATTTACGTTCGATTTTATTTTTGTGTAAATTGTATATAGCATTTATGTTACGATTTGAACCATCGTATACGTATTGGTTTTTGTCTCTCTTTCACTCGCTTTTTACTTTTTTCGCTTACAGTCGCAGCCCGTCACATGAATTTGCGCACTTGTTTCGGCATTCAAAGTCGAAACAATTGGTACAAACTGCAGATATGCGATTTTATTTAAACCATATCGACATATGTAACGGTTCAATAATTGGTCATCTCTCGACCAAGGAAACTTTGTGTCGCACACACACGCATACAAACACAACAAATTGAAAGTCAAAACACTTTTTTTTTACTTAAATTATTCATTTAAGCGATTTATTCAATTTAATTATGCATTTAAATTGCATCGAAAAGTGTTTAATTATCAATTATGGCATGCTCTTTTTTTAAACAAATAAATCATGCCAAAAAGAATAGAATTAAATACAAATGAGCACGTGATATACACATAAAATAAAGTGTGTCTCAGTCTTGGCTAATTTTAAACTTCGCCAAAAGTCTTAAAAATTAAGCACATTGTAAATACATCAACTCATATATATTTACTTAAACCAAAAAAAATTGAAATTTTAATTCTTTTTCCGAGTTTAAAACTAGTATCTAATTCTTTTTCAAAACATTTTTCAAAAAGGAAAAAATAATTTTGAAATAAATGTGCGTTTAATTTGCACGTAACCATTTTTAGTTTTAAGCGTGAAGCTGATGATGACACATACATCGTGTTGAAATGCATTCGTATTGTTTGTTTGTTTGAATAAAAATTCCCAATCATTTTCATAAAGTTAAAACTGAAGTGTTTAATTTTTGTTTATTCGCTCAATTTCGAAATTTGTAATTATTGAAGGGAACTAAAGAATAATTTAATTTTAATGAAAATCTTATTTTTTAAATAAAAATGCGTAAAAATATTTAAAAAAATCGATACATACCCGAAAGACGCGTCCGGCACTTGTTGTCGCAATGAGAAGGATGAGTGTAAGGACGAGCACTTGCCACAATTGTGTTAGTCGAACCATTGTGATTGATGTTTTTTGTTTATAATTAAGGAAAAATTGCCGCTAATTTGTTGATATGTAACCGTTCGGAATTTTACCGAAAATTGAATTTTGAATTTTTCGATGGTTTGTTGAATACAGTTGAATGAGCACTTTTACAAATACGCACTCTTAAAAATTAATATTTATTTCTTGTTTAATTGAAACCGATCAATAAACAGGAATTTGTGTACAAAAAAAAGTGAAAGAATTTTCCGAAAATCGAAATGAATTTCCGATCAATGTAATTTGAAGCAAAAAAAAAATAAAAAATAAAAATACGCGCTTAATTTCTTTTACGTCGATAATATGGATGTTTTGGTTTGTTCGAGAACTCGGAACGTTTTGTATGTGTGTCTTGTGTGGTGGATTCTTGATTTGTAAATAAATCGTAGACGGCAAATGGCTTTGAATTTATATTCAAGACTCGCAACGAGTGGTGTACGTTTTCTAGCCGCCTTGCTCACGCTCAAAAGCGATAGAGAAGCAACAGAAGAAAAAAACACACATCCGAAGCAACAACACATACTCACAACAACAACAAAAACAACAACAGCAACAATAACAAAATACACATCACCGAATGAATGAACGGCGCTGTGAATGAGCAAATAGAAGAATCACAGGAAAACAGAGACGAAACGTATACGCACAGATACCGTACCGTACACAAGCATGGCATGAATAGTGTGCAGCTTTGCGTATTGTTTTGTTGTTTCATCATTCAGTTCGATAATTCTCTGTCTCGTTCACTTTGAAATCGGGATGACACACAATGTATCAAACAGAACCAACAGCGAAAACGTGAGGCATCTCAGCATCCGTAACGTCCGTTTTTCTTTCTTTATCGTCTTCAATATATGTTTCACGTTTATGTTGCGTTTCAATTGATGTTTTTCCGTTTATTGCTTTTTGATACGAGTTTTTCTCGTCACGCGTTTCGCTCTTTTTCACACTACGTACAATTCAAACTACTCGTTATTTATCCAATTATGTTTTTTATTCGCACAAAATCTAAGCCTATCTAAGAAGATCTAATGAAATTCTTTTCGCCATTTAGTTTTGGAGTATGATTGAGATTGTTAATTAGATAAAATCAATAAAATTTACACCCCGAGGAAAACTAATCGATTCACGAATCGCATTTGGATGTCAATATAATTGGATCATGAGATGCTCCTTTTATTTTATTTTATCTTCGAATGCATTTTAATGTTGAATTATGTGATTTGTTTTACCAACATGTATGTACAATTCTCTTCATCAATTGATTCGAAGAATTCATTAAATGTTCAACCAAATTTTTCACCTTCTTGGAAATTCCAATTCTGATTGATTTATTGATATTTATGCTTTGACCGGAGACATAAAAAGATGAAGCATTCCGGCTAGATGGCTTTTCATTCTATGGAAATTTGCGGAATCACAAACAGGCTGTGTGATGAGATGAAACGAACTGAAAAAGAACAACAGCTACCAACAAACGACAATGAAGAAAAGAAAAAAAAGAAGCAGCAGAGAGCATAAAGTTGCAACGTGGAATTTGATCATTAAATAAGCATATTTAAACATGTTTGTTATGTTACGTTCCAATTAATGATTGAGATCTCTCTTTTTTAGTGATTTTGAGAATGTTGATGATGTTTTTATCGTTTTGTTAAAGTCGCTCCTTTGATTATTACCAATGTCATTTGGCGTTCTTCAAGTGAAATGCGCAAAAATCGCACAGAAATGCATTTCTTTATTCACTAGATCGTCGCTTCTCTCTCTCTCTCTCTCTCTCTCTCTCTCTCTCTTCCTCAATATTCTCGCTTTTGTCTCAAATGTACACGAAAATGCCATGAAAAGAACAACGTCTTGTTTCTTTTTTTATCAGCAGGTGGCTTTTGTGAAATTCTTTCGCAGGTAGAAGAAGTGAAGAAGATCCAATGACCATGAAATGACTCGTCATAAAAATGAAATATGTCTTATGAATGAGTAAATGCACTGTTTGGCACGTGAATATCTGTATGAGTATGTTGCGTTCTGAACTCACTTCGATTCGTTAAATACACAACACAAATCTTAAACGCAAAATACCGCACGTATTCATTATCAACTAAACGTGTGAAGGCGCGCGAGATATTTTCTGTGTGTTGGTTTGTTCATTTGCATTGATTTTTTTTGTAATCATCAACATGAAAATTCATCAAATTCTTTACAATGCAACTGAACTTTCAGAGTCGTTAAAGTGGCACTTGGTCTTATCGGTTTCGGTGTATTTACATTGTTTCCAATGCTCGCTTTTAAATATCATATCAAAGACTGTATTTAAGTGTTTGTTCTATGATTGTCAATGCACCTTTTTCAGATTTCAATTCGGATCTTTTCGGTCTTCGCTACAATCAAAACAGTTTTATAACCATTGATTAGATCGATTATATCGCGGTAATTATATCATAAAAATGGCCCGCAATTTTTACTGCAAACGAACAATAAATTCTTTTGGCTATATTGTGTCTGCAGTCAGTGATGGGCCATCGACATGCATCCTTCGAATTTATTTATTAAAAATTGTTATTTTCGGTGTATTCATTTTAAAAGGCGATCGTTTCATTGCAGATAGCCAATGTAGCTTTTCAACAGCTAGGCTTTTTTTCTATTACTATCCAAGTGGTTGATAATTTGGATGAATTATTGATCGATGAGGATGATAGTATTTGTTGCACTGCCATGTTTGACATCTCACGATGATGTAGCGAAACGTCGTCGGTTCGATGAAATGCCAAACTTTTGAACGAAATGCAACTTGATGATTTAAATTTAGCATGAAATCGTAAAATATACAACATTGAATGACCAAAAGCCATAATAAAAAGTTTATGTGTCTGAACTTGGTGATTGTGTAATATATGTGTATATAGAACCGAAGTATCTGGCCACAGTCATAAAAATGACCCAAAGTATGGATTGGCGAATATTTTCTTTTTGACATTAGCATTATCTTGGTGCAAGAAAATCGATGCGATTTCTCTCTCTCTCTCTCTCTTTTTCTTCCATTTTGTGCGATGCAGAATCGTCAAATGAAGTGAAATGGATTTCATGCATGCATCTTTCGTTCCATGAATATAAAAAAAAGAAGTTATACTTTGTTATTATCTTGTCTTAAGCCGTACAACAATCATCTTTGCTTTATGATACAAGTCAAAACATCGTATACAGATATTGTGTTTGCTATTTTACTATCGTTTGAATTGATAACTACCGCTACGCATTGCATGCTTTCGATTGTGTACCGCATTTGTGTATGTTATTTAACTTTAAATTGGTCTTTGTCAACGTAGGCTCGATTCACATGCAACAGATTAAAGACGAACAGTAAGATCGTGCTGCCCAAGCATGGGAGAAAGAAAGAGAATCACATGAATGGGCCAATGGTCATCGCATATTTAAAAAAAACACACACATAACATTAAATACATTGATCACACTTGGACTGAGATGTCATTAGCTTTCGTATTAGTCAGAGAATAACGTGTTACTAGTGCGCGCGCGCTCGCTCGTATACGCATTGTTAACAAAATGGTAATGCGATACGAACTTGTCATATATACGATTTAGTTAGTTGATTGACAAGTTCAAACAGAGTCTATACAAATGATAAATCAATGCCGCTCCACGAAACAAAACACTGTGGATGCGTAATTACATTCCTTTGAAAAAATGTCTTTAATTTAGTCACGTGCACACACATTGTTTCGCTTTGCATATTTGACGCACCGTGTATAAGCCTCTTAAAATATTTGATTTCGAATTTCCTGGAAAACAAAAAACCAACGAATAAATTCCTTGTTCAAACCTGTTGATTAGAAATTTCTCTGAAATGTTACACAATGCCAAAAATGATGTCATCCAAATCGGATGGATGACTCAGCAGTTTTGGAGAGAATCTTTTTTTTTTTGCGCCCATGATCACAATCTCTTATCTCGTCATTTTGCGCAGTTACTTTCATAAATGGTTTCCTATTTTATTTTTTATTTTTTTTGATAATTGAATGTCCGAGTATAGGGATCGATGTCGATTCTTGTGTAGTTAATTTCGTTATGGAATTCCCATTTCACTTTCAAACAAATCAAACACTAACATTTAAATGGGAGCAGTATTTCCAAAGCAATTAACGTCACTTCCGTAATTAATCGAATGAACGCGTCGTAGTACAACAAAAACAAAAACAACGACAGCAACAACAATTGAAGAAGACGAAGAAGAAAAAACCACAGAAAAATAATCGGACTTCACTAGAAAAAAAAACCCAACTTCAATCTCGTTTCTTCTTTTTTTAAATTAGTATAAAAATACAATGTTCATTGATTTTTAAATGGGAATATTTGATAAGGTGAATCGAATTCACCAAAAAAGCAGCATTACAAAAGTCTAGAGTTTTGACTGAAATATATTATTGTTGTTGTCATTGAACAGCTTCGAGATTGTTTTGTCATTTACATAGGCTGAAACGTAGACACTTGATCACCGGCGCTATCCCTATTTCTCTATTTCTATTTTTCTTTGTCTCCATCTCTCTTTGCGCTTAATATTGTTAGGCGCATAAATATCAATACGCACATTCCAATCGCTGTCGCACATGGTGTCGTGTCTAACAGACGTTCTGTCTCTAATAGACACTATTGCTACTGCGCGCCAAATATGTGACCACATTACTCATGACAACAAAACGTTGTGACGCAAACCACATTTTCATTTTCTTTTAATCGAATATATCTTCGAGAAAGTAAGTAAGTGTTCTTCCAAAGTAAGTGTTTGAAAAATAACTTGCTCTTACAATTTTATGCGCACATTTATTTGCGATTTGTCATTCGATTGATTGTAATTGAATCAAACCGAATGAAGAAAAAGAAGAAGAAGAAGAAGAAGAAATAGAATCAATTCGAATGGAATTTTCAAAATGGAGCATCAACTAACATACTTCTATATAATAACTGATTTCAATTCAATGGGTTTTTGGCATTAATTTCTCATTTAAATGCAAATTTGAAATGTTTTTCACATGAAAAAAAAGAAGAAATATGTAAAGTTGAAGACGATGATGTCGAGATGAAGATAAAACAAACGAACTCATGGCCGTGTGTATCAGATCGATTAGATAGTTTTAACGGATGTCATCGCATCACACTATTCCTTCCATTGCACATGTATTGGTTGTGAATAATTGCGTGAAATCATGGTATTCCATGAAAAAAAAAAATATCGTACGATATAACCGATTCGATCGATTGTATGAGAAAAATTTATGGGTTTATAGCACTCTTTTTCTTTCTCTTTCTTTCTCTCTCTCCCTCTCTCGCTCTCTCTCTCTTTCTACATTTTGCAACTATATATGCATAACGGGTCTGAAACAAGAA